TAGTCCATAAATTGAAGTAGATTAAAAGTAAGGATGAAATTACAAAATGCTGGTATAGTAGCACAATTGTAATTTACCGTCAAAATTATAAAAACAAAATAATTTAATAATTATTCTACCTACACATTACAATATACCTATAGTTGTATTGAAAATAATATTTACATAAGCTATAAGTTACATTAAATATCACACTCAGTGTTGGAAAATTTATAATTTTTTTGGTAATTATATTGCATTACGAATTAACTTACAAAATTGTAATTAAATTATTTTTAGGTTGCTTTAACGTTTCTTTATCCGGTCAAGTCACATTAATTTATAGTTAAAAAAAGAGTTATATTATAATTAAAGTTACTTTTTATTTTCAAAACATATACTAGAGCATAATAATTATACTGCCATTAACGGAATAATGACTATCAACAATATGAAATTAAAAAATGTTTATTAGGAAACAATGAAAACAATAATTATTTAAAACATAATATATTATTCTTTTTTTTTAAATTTATTTTAAACAATAATATATTTTCTGAATTACTACCTAATTTAAAATTTAAACTTATTAAAAATAAAACATTTTTTGTCAAATTACTATTACAAAAATGTTAGTTATCTCTGAAAATCATACTATACTATAAATTACTAACAATAGAATGTAGTTAAATTACCATCAAATTACTTCAGTAGTGATTTCATTACAATGACTTCTAACTTTAGTCAAGTTACTTCCCAACACTGATTACAAAGCATTTTGGTTATAAAATGCAATGTGAAACAGTGTGGAAAGAGGCTTTATTCATTATTGGTAGTGATTCCAATGAGTAATATAAACTATTCCAAACAATCCAAACTCGTCGCCATACTAATGTCAAATAATATGCGCTACACATGAAATCCATCACTAGAGCACAGAAAAAACAGGTTAGATAAGGTTTTTGAAAAGCTCGCCGGTTAGAAAATGGGCAGATTCTTCTATTATTTTTTTATATTATATTTATTTCAACGCACTGAATTTATTATAGTTTTATTATTTTCAACGTTCTGCGGTTAAAGCACACCGACTTTAACGACTAGGTCAGAGGTATCCCCTGCCCCCTCTAAAACCACGTGCACTTAAGAGTTGCGGTGTAACACGTTTATAATTAAAATGTCTTACAACACTCATACAATAATATGTCTGGCCTTGTCGCATGTTCAGTGATACGCTCGAAAACCACTGTTCAATTGTATTTTTGGAGATATTAATCTTAGATTTAATAATGTCTTATTTAGCTTTCAGATATTTTAGTTGATTTTTATCATAAAGCTAATCGGCTGAAACGTGGACAGGTAGTTAACCAGCAGCAGATGTTGAAATGAGGAAAAAGATTTATGTTCCATGTCATTTGACTTTCGATTCGAAAAATTTAAGAATAAACCGGAATCCTCTTGCATTCAAATCTATATAATATAATAAGGCCTTTCAGAAAAAAAACGTGTAAGCCGATGGGTTTGGGTATGATGCTATTTAATATTTTATTTTATACCTACGTGGGTATCCTGTAAAAATGAGATTGGGCGATATTATGATCATTGGAAATAATTTTATTTACACTGTTGGAGTATGTATTTTGTATTAATGTTCATGGCGTGGTTCATTTAATTAATAACTTCAACTATGTAGGCTACGACAAAACCATAAACCTACCTATATAAATCACGAACAGTAAAACTCTGGGTTATAAAAAAATCAACTACAAATTGGCACAATAATCTAAAATCTTTTTTATTATTTCATTTATACTGGGCAGGTATGATTTTGTTTTTTAATTCATTGATTTAGATTCCCAGATAGTTTTTCAAACAGTTATACATTTTAAACTAATTAATATTGCAATTCAACTCTAGTTTTTACTTTGATATACAGACAGATTTATGACGCTGACTTGATAATAGAATTATTGTTAAAAGCCATAGAGTTTACTAATAGGTATTATTCATATGTAAGACTATATCAGTTTGCAGTGGTTAAATCTAATTTTTGATTGTGGTGCGAGTAATTAGTCAATACTCTTACATTTTCTAGATTGAATAAAGTTGCTTTTCATTCAACTCCCTTGTTTAAATATTAATCTTGTTACATCGAAAAGTAACAATATCAATCGAATACATGCTATAATAAAGTCGCTGTCACTAAAATCGTTTTCCTAATGAACGTATCGCCTCTGCTCTCAGACATAATAAAAATAAATCACCAACTGGATAAAGTAGTATAGAAGTACCGCGTGGGACACTGATAATTTATTGCAAAACACTGGTTAATCCGACAACAACAGATTCTGTAAAATAAGCAGTGGAATATCAGGGTAATACGTATACAATTTTGCTTACATAATGTAATCAAACTGTGTAATAGTGTTTTTTTAGAAAATCTTTATTTATCATTATATTGTAATAGGACACATTTACAGTATAGGAAAAAACACAACAATCAAGTAATAATAATACATGCCAACCCGATTTTGAATATAAAATTGTAAATCCGACAACAACAAAAACAATTTTTTTTTTATTTAGCTTCTAGTAATAACTATTTGAGAAAAAACAATTTGAAATATTAAAACTGAATTTTTACGACTTCGTCTTTTCTTTTATTATTATATGTATAAAATATTATATTTTATTATAAAGCGACTAAAGAAAAAATACTCCCTAGACAAAACGCATGACGATACTAAAACGCACATACTAACCTATTAATATATTATTATAAGTGTATATGTACAATTTTAGATTCTGAGCTGAACGATGAATTTATTGATTTTAAAATAAAGTGTGTTTTTAGTTTTTTATTTTTGTGTCTGTAATCACTTTTGGGGGGGCAGTCAAATGCTTCGATTATTTTTTGTACAGCATCTTTTCTGGCAGAAAAGTGATCTAGTTGATACTTTGGGGGATCAAAAGGAAATAATTTCAACAATTTTCAAAAGCGTCAAGAAAAATATACAAATTAAGAAAAATAGAGATTTTTACGCAAAACCAGTTTTTAAAAAAATTGTTTTTGTTTTTTTTTGTGTGACTTAAAAAATAACTGTGGGTAGATGACATTTTTACTGAATGTTTATATTAGCTATTTCTATGCACCATAACATTTTCGAAATATAGTGACTATTTTTGAGCTATTTATAGACATAAAAAAGTCCAGTTTTTAATAGTTTTTTTTTTGGATTATTGTCGATACACCTTTTTCGTTCGATCAAAAACTTGAATGTATGTAATACAAGATTCCTCATAAAAAAAAGATTGAGCGTTGTTGAGTTAATTAAAAATTATCGTTTATAGTTAAGGATTGAAAATTTAATTCATGAGTCTACGATAGTACAATAGCCAAGTTTGGTAAATCTTTTACGGTCTAGCAGGTTGCCCTGAGGTACACCGAAGTTATTTACTAGTGTACTCCAATGAACTACATAGAGCCATAGCAGCCGCAGTTCGATGGTTGAATTCCCTGGACATACGAATTTAAAAGGAGAGCTTTACCCATCACATACCCATTTCTAGTTAACATACTACCTTTGTAATCTGTTATAATTTATTTACTGATTTTAAATATTTTTTATTTTATATTGTGTTATGTTGAATTGTAAATATTATATTATTTAAGCCATAAGAAATAATAATAGGTAATTAATCTTTCTTTTAATCTTATACATTTGGAGATGTATTTTTAAAATTAGTAGTCTCTCATACTATTGTAGTTATAAACAAGAATACAATTTTAAAGAAAAAAAACAAAATATACGAACAGACGATTAGTAGAAAAGTTTTAAAATATATTATGTAAGTATTTGTGGGTATACGAATACGGTAAGAAAAATGTGTGTTTTATTCATTCATAACGTATTGTCATGTAAAAAAAGAACTTTGGAGTTCGTCGGGAAGACCAAACTTGTATGTACTACCTATTCTTCGTTCTTCTGACGTATTTTTAAACGTAAGGAACAAAATTGACTAAGCAGACCACACGCTATAGGGACGTTTTTCACTGTTGTTTAAATAATAATGCAATTCCTAGTTAAACATAAACAAAAAACCCAACACCTGACTAAAATTTTTTTACGATTTCGACACGGTATTTGCGACAGCTACGCATTGGCTTTTTTGTAGCTAAAGCTAAAGGTTCAATTGTTTAACATAACACGAGACAAAATTTTATCTCAGTGTAGAGACATTTCTAGTAATATTTTACTAGCTTTATTTGTACTAGGTATATGTATATTTGTTGAAGGAAACTAGAAATAACTGTAAGACACAATATAATTGTTTCAAAAAGTGTAACCAAAATAATATTAGATTGAGAGTTTTTATAATAGGTATATTATAGGCCAGCTAAATTGATTATGTTATATTTATTTTTATTGGACTTACATTGTAGTATCGGATCTAAAGGTCATCGTGTGAAGTGTTAATATTTGCTTAAAATATACGTATTAAATTAGGGACATGTTTGTCCAGCTGCTTTGAGAGATCTAAAGACTTGATACCAAAGCGTCGGTCGCCGACGGGTGTTGAATGCCTGTTTTTAATATTGTTGTTTGTTACACCAAAAATCGAACAAGTTTTGAAAGAACTTTATTTTTCTTTAGAGTTTTCCGTGCGAGGTTACATTTGGCCACACGGTGCCGATCGCGTCGAACTGTGGAAAAAAACCGGACGTAAAACGCTCCGTTACACGCCTATACATCCCACGCGTGAAACCATTGCCTTCCGACGTCTCCAACCCCCAACGCCACCGCCGCCGCCAACCCCTCACCTATGCTATTTGCTACCACCACCACCACCCCTTCTCCCCACCAACCAACATTATCGTGGACGACTGTCTTCGTCGCTCTCCCGCCGTTTAATAGAGTTCGCTGATAGCATCGGCACCAGCGCACGAGACCTCCACCCACCACCATGGAGGGGGTGTGGGGGCACGCGAGTACACGGCGCACACCACCAGTGTGCCCGTGACGAATATCCGCCGCAGTCGTCACCGCCACCACCATCATACATGTCCGTCAATATCTCGGGTCATACAGTCCGCGAAATTTCGGTATAATTTCGTATAAGCGCTTGACCGGTGGACAAGAAACTGCATTATAATATATAACTATATGGACATTTTTTTTAAATATAAAAAAAAATCATAAACCACTTTTGAAGCTTCCGCTGCCCTCATACTCGAGAGCACATGCAACAATGATTGGAGCCCGCTGTCGACGTTAATAATATTATTGTTATTATAATATTTCCGACGTCAGTGTGTCCGCGTCAACTCACCCGGTGTCAGACACTCAAACGTGTTTGTATAAACTTAACCACCGAGTGCTGCACAAGATAATAATATTATTGTATACATAAAACCTCGCAGGACTCGCATCGTCATCAAGCTGTCGACGGACACCAGGATCGCCGCCCGACCTAAGTGAGTGATTTTGTATACACATTTTTTTTTTTTTTACACCATACGGAAACACGTGCGGCGGATCTCGTTTGATCGATTGTTCAAACGCACGGAAGTATGATGGCGTTGAACAAAGAAGACCGTTATAAACAATTTGTTTGTTGAAATAATGTACTTAAAACCATTTAGGTACATACGACAGAATATCATCGTTGTTGTTATTATTATTATTATTATTATTATTATTATTGTACGGACGGGACTTGTTGCCCCTCGTGTAAGCAGTCGTGCTGGCTGGTTTTTCAAACGGAATTAATCACTGCACTTTTATGGTAAACTAAAGTAAATGTAATTGATACGTGCACATCAATCACCCAGGCCATTGTTTTTTTTTTGTAGTCTGCAGGACGTATAAAAAAATAAAAGTATGGATGAGTTTTGTAATTTGTTACGACTAATTGATATATAAGCAAACAACGGAATTTGAATAGTGTTCGTAACAATAGATAATATTATAAATAATCGGATCAATGGTAAATAACAATAAGTTTTCATATTGGATATAATATACATTTTAAAATAATTTGTTCAACAATATCCAATAAAATAAAAATATAACCTAAAGAGTTTACATAGTTGAGTTAGTTTGTTGTACTCGCATTTTTTAATAGTTAGATTATCAATATATTATATTGTACTGTTGGTAAACAGAATTAGCACAAATCCACCTTAGAACATTTAAATAGTTAGGATGCAAAGAAAACTTCGTACCCACATGTGTTGTCTCCATCTTACTGGCGCAAAATATACAAACAAATGTGCGATCATAAATTCCACTTTTTTTATTGTTAGCTTAAATATTATTAGAGTGAATTTAACAAATTATCAAAATTAAACGTAAGAATATTATCTGGTTCCCTCATTGATTTTTACCGTGTTTTAATTTTTAAGTGAATTATGATGAATTTTATTAAGTATTTTTACTTTTAATTGTGATAATAAGACAATTCACTCAAATATTTAACCTTACAACATAAAATTGGAACCGCTGATCGTACATTTTGATATATTATGTGTTATAAAGACGGAGACAACACATGCGGGTACGACATCCTCGTAAGATATTTGACATGATAAAACTGATATTTTGATACAAAAATCAATAAGTATCATTCTTTTTAGTGTTTGGCTTTTAGTTATTATTAATAATCAAAAAATAAAAATTGATTTTCAGATTTAAAAAAAATATAGTATTGATAAAATTAGAGAACATATTTGTTTGGTATCCAAATTAAATATAAGTTTAAGAAACTTAATTTTTCTTAGTATTTTAAGTTAACGAGATACTAAACTGAAAAAAGATGATTACTTACACAATAACATTTATTCAATTTTTGAAAGAAAGAAATTATGCTAAATGCTTATTAGAATATTAAAATTAAATTTGCCTACGTGTATACATCTGCATTGTACAGTGTATACACGACTACATTATATTAAAAAGGAAACCCGAGATTAAAAAGGATATCTGAGTTACAAAAGATTATAAGAGAAGTAACATTGAAATTAAAGTGTACAGTTTATTTCAAAGCTGGAGTTAGGTAAAAATGTAATATTGTAAAATTCTAAAATATAAATTACTAAATAACATCGAATCATGTATGCTATTATTTTACCTATATGGTTTTTTCTCACGATAGTAATATTTTTGGAACTCTCAATGTAGTATAATACTATTAGCATAACCATAAACAAAAATATAAATATTATTTATGAATTTCGTTCAGAATGACGTCAATGAATGTGAATTAATTGAACAAATAATTTACATTCAGATATTTTGGAAGGAATTTGGAAAAAAAATATTTACCTAACGCTACAACTTGTGAAACCTTTATGAAAGATAACTTCCGAAAAAATTGACAGTGCCATTAATATTGAACACCTTTAAATTACCCGTTAAAAAATACACATGTAATATAGACAACAACACAAAATGTTGTAACATTTTAATAATGGACACTCTTAGAAGTGCATCATTCACTGTGAATGTTTAATGTGTATACTAACAAATTGGTAATAATTTTAAAATGTATTTCCTCTTTAGGTATATACTATCAGAACAAGGTTATACAAATTAATTTATCTTTTATGTTTTCATACGGTCAGTAAATATTATGCCTATATTAATGTCACATTTTATAAAGAAAAACAATCTAAATGAAATGTTGAAAACATCAGTTGTGAGTTGTCTAGTGGACGTACAACACAACACTAGCAACAACAGTACACATGGACATAATAATATATGTACAACGAACAATAACAAAAGGATAGCAGATTTGTTTTTACATTTTTTTTTTCTTTATCAATGTTGAACGGTTTCAAATTACTCACGGCTGCCCACTATATAGAGGTACATAAAAATATCCATAAATAAAATACCACAGTTGACAGATACGACACTATAACTACTTTGAAGTTTATATATAATCGACGATTAAAAGTGTAAACAGATGAATTTTAACAAAATAATTTTATTTCTGTGCACACTAATCACTTTTAAGTTTTAATCACTTTACTTATTAAAAATACGTATTATGTGAGCAAAAATCGTGTGCACATAAAATTTGAGATCTTTAGAAGTTTTTATGTATTTTACTAACCTATAATAATACTACTGTAGAGTATTAAGATCTTTTGGCCAGTTTTATAGATTAGTGAGAACAAAACTAAAGATATAATGATTAAAAATGTTTACAAGAGTGGTGCAAATTCATATCAGAAAATATCATCTGTTCTTTTGCTCCAGAAGTGACGCTAATATTAAATATTTATATTAATATGACATTTATAATAATTATAAATCATGTGATTCACCATGTAACTCACCCTTTTTATTTTTTCAATAGCGCAGTTTTAAAAATCTGATTTTCGGAAGTGTATAATAATAATAAACTTGAAGATCTCATCATTTTCAAATCGTTGAAATTGTTAGTATTACTAAAGGAAAACAGTTCTGTGGATAAAGAAACGTCTGTTTTTGAAATGAGAATCTTCCTCCCCCATCCATAAAATCTATAGAATTTAAATATATTATAGTCTTGAAGTATAGGTACTTAAAAATTCCAAAAATCAGAATTTGACTAAATTCATTATCAATGTCAAAATAGGGGCGAACAATGCTTGGTGAATCACCCTACAGTACACTACTTTTTTTAGTGATACATGTTATCATTTATACAAGCATATTCTATAACTAACAATTTTTAATTAAAACAATATATTACAAGGTAAAAAAAAGTAATAAGTTAGTGTTTCGATGATCAAAATATAAAAGAGTAAAGGATGAACATAAAGTCATAAAATACAATTGATCAAAAATATCATGTCAATATTTATAAGCGACTCGTTTGTATGCTTTTAAATATTTCTAAATTTATAACTAAATCGATTACAAATAATTTATCGTGATTGCACAGACAAAAAAAAATCAAAAATTTTTTAATATCAAAACTTTTTTTATTTTTTAAAATTACCTATGGTTTTCAAATTAATAATTATTATAAACCATATAATTCACAATTTGTATTATTAAAAATATTATTAGTTGTTGGTAACTGGTAAGATCATTTAAAGTTTGACTATAACATAATGATCGTACATTTCAACCAATTATATAATATTCCCTATTGTAATATTTTTGAAATTTGGATATAACACTCTATTTAATTATGACTATTCATTAGGATTAAAGTCAAAATTATCATTTTCTCCTCAATCTATAAGTTAAATCAATTGTAAACATAAAGTAAATAATGTTTGAGTATATCAGTTTTTGGCATTTTAAATGTATGATTCAATTTAGATATTGAATTGAATAGTTTAATTGGTCTTTAAAAAGATTTTATTTTAATCAAGATTAATTATGTTAAAAATTCATCGAGTAAATAAAAATAATCACAAATGGTTTTAAAAAAATTAAGTTAATGCAAATGAATTATTTAAGGTTATATCAATTCACATAATTTAAATGTATTATTTTATTTTTATTTTAAACTCAAATCAAAAGCTGTAAATGGATATAAAAATCTTTTGAGATTTTTTCTTCGAGTGTTAAGCATTTTTACAACTATGTAATACTAACATGTACGTAGTTTTTCATTACTTTATAACTTATATGAAAACGATTTATTTGTATGTATATACTAAAAACTTAAATGTACATTTTATGATACATATTACGTTGGCAGTGTTGTTTTGAAAAAAAAATAACAATATTTAGATTATTTTGTAACATTATAATAACTTTTTTTATAATAGGAGCCGGGCCGCTATAGCTTATGGTTTGTATTATTAAAAAGCACAAAACAATTTTATTATTTTGATTATTACCATTTATCATTTTGTAACACGGCGCTTTGTATAGGCAATTTAGCACAATATGTGCGTATTATTCCTGATTATCAAACACAATAATAATATTGAAAGATTAGATGAACCACAAAATGTAATATTAAATTCCTCAAGTTTTTTACTATGGAGTATTTTACTAGCATTAGTTGTATAGGTATAACAAGAATTTTTATGATTTGTCAATTTTTAGATTATTTTATACTAACCTGTCATAACAACTCATAACTCATAAGATTTTGAATAAACATAAAAACATGACGAAGAATGAAAATATTTTCTATTCATATTATGATCCATCCTAATATTATTATCATGTTATTTATTTTCTTAATTAATTAATTAATTTTCTTATTAAAATATACATTCGCTAGCAGTTGTCGTTGGGGGATTCTCAGATATTAATTTACATTGCCAATGTATTTTATATAACATATAGGCCAATCTTGTTTAACTTTGTTTTTCTTACATAAATAAAAATCACAATGCCAAACATTATATAAACCTAGGGGTAATAAAGTAGTTTTTCTTGTTAACTTGAAATTAATTAGTGGATTTCATATTATTAGCTTAGTTGCTACTAAGTTTTGTTATTTTTCCGATACTGA